CCTTTTCCTCCCACTGCTAAATACTCCTACGCGCTAGCGAATTATTGAAATAAAATTGAAACATATGTAAGTACCGAAAGGACCTAGTTTGTGTCTAGTAGACAAAAAGCCTACTCTCTCTCTCTCTCTCTCTCTCTCTCTCTCTCATTTCTTCGAAGTTTGTAAATAACGTTGTAGTAGATCGCTCTCTCTCTCTCTCTCTCTCTCTCTCTCTCTCGTGTTTTATAGAGTGACGATATAATACATATTCATAATGTCAATCTCTCAGTTTTCATCAATTTATTTTAAAACATCAACTTTTTCATTTATTACCATACAGTCTAGATACTACCAATATTTAAATTTTCATTTCATTTTTTATGAAAAAAACTATTGATTTATAGTCATATTTTCACCCCCGAGTCCGTTAATATATTTACATATATTAGCCATTTTTCATTCAGGTATTATTGTCATTTATTTATCCATATAGTATTTATTTTCTTTATACTATTATCTTCCGATTCATTAACATGTTCATTGTGTAGTTTGTGTTTTATGTTTGTATAAACTTTACATGGGTATTCCCATGCAAAATCGAAGAATTAATATTGATATTTGAGATTGTTATAGGCTATTTGATACCGTTGATTGTGTCGACTACCTGTACAGGTTACCACGTCATTAAGATAAACTAATACCCTCAAACACACCTGTGTAATAAACCCTCTATTGTTATTCCCGACTTGTCTGTGCATACCGTTAGGCCGTAGATTTCTACCTGTTTTTACCTGAAAAGAAGGATCAGCTAGAGAGATACAAATCAGCGGGATTTTATTTTTTTTATGAATTGGTTCTGTTTTTGCGCATTTTGTTTCTTGTCTTAAAGATATTGTGATAGATTTTCAGATTATAGCTTCGGGATTTCCTTAATGACATGATGACAGGAAGGGAATTTTTAAAAGAAAGCTCTTTAATCATTTTGTTATTGGACAGGTACGGGTGTTTGTCATGGTTGTTTTGATTGAATGTAAAGCACATATGTGCCATTAACCCCTTGTCTTCTAGACACCCCACCCGCTAAAGAATGAATGGAATTGTGTTTAACGTCCTACTTTCCTGTACCACCTGGTTTAATAGAGACGGAGATCCGCCATCAAGTGTAATATGAGGCAAATGTTGCCCTGACATGTTGCTTTACGATCTACTCATATTTCGGTTTCCAACTGCCAGGGGATCTTTGGCGTGCTGTCAATAGTATACACTGGACCTCGACTATCGCTTCGTCCCGAATCGCTGACAAGTGCAAATCAGGCTTAAAATCCCCATTGAACTTTTAGGGTTCAAACTCGTGACCAGTGCCATACTCCCTGATACATCCCTCCTCGTTCACACTAGATTTCCCGTGTATTGACTGGAGAAAGTTCATTGTGATTTTCCGACGTGGTATCCCCTTGTCAGTGGTGCAGTACACATTGTCGTGCACGTAAAAGAACCATTGTCACTTGAAATTTGAAATAAAGAGTCGGTCGTAGTGCCGCTGTCTGGGGCAAAATTTCCCTCGCAGCAATTTGTATGGCCCATGGCGGTCTTCATTAACCCAGTTGTAGCAGAATATTAAGACTTTAAACCCCACACGCCAACACTGTCCTTAGCACAAATACAATGCACATTGAACAGTTTTAAGATTATATTAGTCTCAAAAATATTTAGATATTTTTCTTTTGTTGATAATGATACAAAAATACAACGCACTTTCAACATACAAGACCAATAAAAAGGAGGTCTCGGTTTCGATTCCACTGTTGGCCGAGAACATTCAACGGGATTTACCCTATCTAATCCACCTCCACACCCCTTTTCAGGACGGGGGGCCTGACAAGGAAAGATCTGTAGTCATTCGAATGGAACGAAAAAATCGAATTCTCATGTATACCAGTAGTTACTTTAGTAACGTAAATTGTATCGGCTCTGCTCTCTACTACGTTACTGTCACCTCCTAATGACAACTAGTATGAAAATAAGGCTTTTCCCCTATCTCGGTTCTAAGGCAATTTTGGAATCCTTACCGTCTATTTTTCACCGTGATTCTTCTTTGGTCGCTAAAAGGAATCATTTCTTGCCACATCCGACACAAATTTATAAAAATCCAACTCTATTTTCAAGTAGAATTGTGCGATACAAAAACATAAATAACTTTCATTTGAATTGGGCCGCCATGTTCAAACTAACGCTCAGCCAATAATCCAAACTTAGGAATGGAATTTTACCGTAAACGAAAATTCGTGCTGTATACGGTCACTAAAGTTTCTTTTTATTCAACATACATGAATAATTATTACATAAAATCTATAAAATAAAACAACACATTATATTGACCTTTATACAATATTTTAAATATTCTATGTGTTATTCTCATGTACAGCGAGAATTTTCGTTTACGGTAAAATTCCATTCCTAAATTTGGAATATTGGCTGAGCGTTAGTTTGAACATGGCGGCCCAATTCAAATGAAAGTTGTTTATGTTTTTGTATCGCGTAATTCTACATGAAATAGTGTTGGATTTTTATAAATTTGTGTTGGGTGTGACAAGAAATGATTCCTTTTGGCGACAAAAGAAGAATCACAGTGAAAAATAGACGGTAAGGGATCCAAAATAGCCTTAGAACCGAGATGGGGAAAAGCCTTATTTTCATACTAGTTGTCATTAGGAGCTGACAGGAACGTAGTAGAGAGCAGAGCCGATACAATTTACGTTACTAAAGTAACTAGTATACCAGTGGCAGCACGTTAAAGATCCACTAATCTGCTACTAAAGGGGCAAAATTCCGCTCATAGCACATGTTTTCGCGTCTTCATGACCTCGGTTGGTTCACAACAATAAGATGTTAAACTACATTCCATTCCAGTTGTCTTAAAATATTTTAGTTTTAAATTTTCATTAATTGGCCCCTTGGGTTATTAATGTGACAAGTTGTAAGTGTTGTTGACAGTTTAAGTATAACAACTAAGTTTTTTCAGATTATTTATTAATGCAAATGTATTCATTAAACTCAGCTTATATTTTAAAGGTGCTAATAAGTCTCTTTGCTTTCGATCAAAGTTTTGGAGTTGGTTGATCTGATTGTATTTGATTAACATTGCACATCTTTAGAGTTAGCGGAAGTCAGTGTGTTTTGGACTTAAACTGTCGACTGTTGAACACAAAATCCTGTTTAAAGGAACACTTCCAGATTTCAAGGGATAGCCGTCGGTAAAAATCTACAAATTAGACACCAACATGTGAAGAAATGGCTCAAATATCTTGTCTGAAACGAGAGAGGGGACAGCGAATTTGGGGTTTAACTTCCACACAAACTAGTTCGTTTCGGGATAAAATAGTACAATTTTATTTCCATAAATCACTTGAGTGTAGGGATGTTTAACAGTTGGGCGGGGGTGGGGGTGGGGCGGAGAACCCCAGAGAGGGGCCAGGCAGCCGACTCTACTCCTTATCACGTACAACTGTGGGATCGAAACTTGATATACTTTGAAATACCTTATATTATAAAGCGTACGTGTTAGACAATCCATCCGCTACCCCCTCCGACCCCCAACCCCCAACGACTGTAAGAAACCAATGGCAGACCTTATGTGTCAGGGCATTCGGCAACCCAATCCCGCTGTAAGAAACTGAAACTTGTTGGTTAAGTATGTTGGCTTACGATACGTTATAGTGCTATTTTTATTTACTTTCTCGGTACATAGTTTACATTTTTAAGTTGTAAATAAAACAATAAAACAATTCAAGCAGATCTTAAATAATGTTTTATTCAAGACCCTAACATCGATTATAAGTCACGATTCAGTTAACAGTACTTTAAAAAAAATATATAGGAAAAAGTTAACTTTTTAAACCAAGAAGCTGTGTGGGTTGAGTGTTTTGAACAAACTGTGCGCTTTGTTTTTGATTTTGCCTCTTCTGGGAGAAGGCGACTATATGGGTTTTATGTCATAATATATAGATGGGTTTGGATGGCAGAATGGTTATTGCGTGTGTGTTGTATCATAAGATCTGTCATTGAGTAAATTGGTGTGGTTTCGATTCCCCGGATGTACGTGACGATGGGAAGGGTCGCATGTCCATCCTCATGGGTTTCATCCGGGGTCTCATGTTTCCTCCCACTGCTAAAGACCCCCTATACGCGCCAGCGGTTTACTGAAATAAAATCAAACCATATGACCTAGTTTGTGTCGGGTGGGTGTTAAACCCCATCTCTCTCTCTCTCTGTCCGTCTCTTTCTCTCTCGCTCTCTCTCTCTAATTGTGTTTAACGTCTTATTTTTCTTAACCAACTATGGGTTAATGTAGACGGACATACGCCATACACTTTTTATTTTATAGTAGTTGTGCATGGCAAAGGGCCTGGCAAGGAACAATGTATAGTTCGGGTGGGACGAAAACGAAAGACCAGGGGCCCGTGTACACATTGACGTGCACGTAAAAGAACCCTTAATTCGAAGCAAGAGTAGTCCATAGTGCCACTGTCTGGGCAAAATTCCCCTCATAGCACACTGCATTTGGTACATCTGTCTTTACTTCATTGCCCCGGCTGGTGCATAAAAGTAGGACTTCAAACCCCATTTCGTTTCATTGTCTGTCATGTCTATATTCTGCTATGTATTTAGCCTACACATTGTATAATATATACAGGGACAGAGTTTAGTTTGATATAGTATATATTATTTATAGATATATGTTTATTTTGTACGAGTATATATTGATATACATATTAATAATATACTATATAGATGTTATTGTACTGTTCAGTCCTTGTGTATACTGAATATCTATATTAACTGCTATGATATAAGTTACTTTATAACAAACTCGAATATCGTTTTAACATACCCTTTAATAACAGTTACTTTCATTCATGGATCATAGAAAACACAAGACTGGTAGTCATTCATAAAACCGTCTAGATAACCCAGACTACCACCACTACTTACCTTTACTTACGATATTAATATCGAGCATTGTATTCGCTACCTGTCGACGGGGACTTGTTACTAAATATATGATATCTATTGTCTTGGTATAGTGTGTGTTGGGGATGGGACATGACTGACATTCAAGGCGTGTTCAAGTTACGCTCGACTAACTACAAACTCGGCTCACCAGATCACTCGTTCATATACAGCGGCTTGGACTGTCAGCTCTATCACAACACACTCACGCCTTGACGTTTCGACCTGGGAATATTTTGTGAAAAATTTGGATTATTGGACTAGTTTACAGGATTAACCTTTAACCTTTCTGTAAGTATATTTGATAAAATTCCTATTAGTTTTCTTTTTATTTCGATATTTCTATCAGTTGTGAAACGCCAAAAACTTTTCTTGAAGGTTGTAAAAGGGCAACCAATGATTCAATGAAACCCATTTTACGATTGATTCAGCCTGCGGGCAACCGGGTTTTTGGATAACACCTCTAATGGGCTCCTCTCCTTTGTTGTTGTGCAATGTCAACAGCTTGTACATGTTGATCACAAAAAACTGATGCATTTGTCAACTACCCGATACCGGAGCTAGGATAATAACAGATGTGTTCCAAAACATCCTCAAAGCCATGCAAAATAGGGACAGGATCATTTTTACAAGTTTCTGAAGAACTAACTCATCGATATTGAGATAATTGAAGTATTTTGTCAGTTTTTGATGGTACCGATGAAGCATGTGATGGTATTTTGTAATATTGGGTTGCACAGGGTAAATCATCCTGTCAAAAAATGTTAAACTTGACACCATGGTGAGCTTTTGTTTTTCTGAACCACAAAACACCAATAATGACCACCTGGTTGGTCGGTGTTAACAAAAACTTCAAAATGTCTACAAGGATGCTATTTTTCTTGAATTATGAAAACCATAAAGAAAATTTAGTTACAGGAGGGAATGGGGGAATCGATTGGGAGTTTAGGGGATGTGGAGATTCCACCGCCAGCGAGATCTAACTTTAATTAACCATGTAGCACATTTTATGATCTGTCAAATGATGACAGACAGCGAGGTTGTTATTGATAAGAAGTTTTTTGTATGAATTTTGTTTTGTTAAAATCTCACTATACTTGGGAAAATAAGAATGACCGGTGATGGTGTCGACGATTCTAAGCCCCTATTTACCTATTGATATGAATTTTGTTTTGTTAAAATACAGGGACGGGCGGGTGATTTACATGTAGAGCCCTATTTACCAATTGATATGTGACGCCACGGTGTTCAATATGACTTCTACTTGTAATGTATGTGTGTAAGTGGGCGGGTGGGTATCCCTCTTTTAAGATTCCCACATACACATGTAATTAGTAAACGTCTGGTTTGATCAAACATTTTAAACTGTTTTCTGGGTTAGTTTCTTGTAGAAACTGAACACCAAGTTACCTTTTGAATCACACTATCAGAGTGTTTATCGTAAATTAACTCTGCATAACTTATGTAACTTTAGTAGTTAACAATTATCCTTATCGTCCACGTTGGCCCAGGGCAGAGTATGTCTACCTTTCGACAGAGATCTGGATTGAGAAATAAAATCAAATGAAATGGGGTTGAAAGACTTACCTATTTTTTGCACCAGCCGAAGACGGACATACGCCATGCAATGTGCTATCAGGGGAATTTTGTCCGCGCAGCTGAGCTACGGTCTTCATGTCTTTCTATTTCTGTAAAGCTTATTCTTGCTAGGTTCTCTGCCTTACACCACTGACAAAGGGAAACCTGTGTAGCAGTTTACATATTGGAAAAACAATTCCTGTGTTCATGGTTACTAGGTCGACACCTTTTGGATCCCAAATCGCCGACCCTAAACTTTCCCCTCATTTCCCATGACCGAAAACACCTGTATTATTTTTGATGGCCCGACCAAGAGTGGTAATATTTCCTGTTCACTTTGAAATTTTGAAATTTACATTTTCATATTTCTCTATCAAATCTTGTTTGGTAACACCACCAGCTTCGAGGTTACGAGGGATTAAAACTATGGTATGGATGATTTTAAAATAGCACAACAAATAGCTAATTAAGGCACTGGTGCATGATGACCTCAAACAGTGGTGGACCGAAGCCCTGCTGAAGAACATATTGTGGGTGGTCAGCCATTGATGAAATTTAATGACCCTTGTTTGTTTACATCGTACAATACATTGGGGCAACTCGTCAACGTTGGTTCTTAATACATCCACATACGACGTTGTTCCCATCGTAACAAAATGAAGTTGTTTTTAATTTATAAACGATAACGTTATATTGCTGCGTTCCTGGGGAACTTTGTAAAGTGACTAGTCATGAGTAAAATGTAATGGTTCCCGTTACAACAGGTTAATTGTCAATGACATGTTTTCTAGCAAATCGTTCTTGATGTAAGATTAGTTTGGGATTGAACCGTCGCCTTCACACATTTTATTGTATTTGTGAAGAACTTAATGCAGTGACCAGCCATGAGTAAAATTTAATGGCTCCCATTGCTACAGGTGTGATTGTCAATGACATGTTTTCTAGCGAATCCTTCTGGTTGTAAGATTAGACTGGGATTGAACACATTTTATTGTATTTGTAAAGAACTGAATGCAGTGACCAACCAGGGGTAAAATGTAATGGTCCTGTAACTACAGGTGTGATTGTCGAGTTGTTGACTTGGATTGAAACATCACTTTACACATTTTCTAGAGTGTCCTCCTGTCCCCACTACATGGATTAAAGCTACAATATTGTTATTAATTTATTAAAGACACATCCAGTTTGTGTATGAAGTTAAAACATACTATATATTATGGTCATCTACAAGCTTATTGAATCTAACAAACATCCATATTTCCCAAATATAACGTTTGAAAACTCTTAATCGTTTAATTAGTTGGCTACACAAATAACCTTGGTTTACAGGACATTAATCAAGAATACCAGAGCTTAAACGGTAAGATTTTCTAGATTAATATGAAAATTGAACAATTAGTATGATGAAACATATATTATGCAAGAGCTAAATCTGTCTATTACAGGTCTTTCTTTAGGCCTGAAATGTTATCTAAATTATTAATTAGACATTAATTAACTTATCCAGGCCATAATCAACTCTCGATGGCATCGCTAGCCTGTGATGTTTATTGGATTAGGTTCCGATTTCCTGTTCGACTTTCTTTCATAATTTAATCATGCAAATTCCCTTTACATTATCTAGTTTTTAACTATTATAGTGAGAACTGCCAGCTCTTTATCTAATCTCCCATAATGTATCTTTAATTATTCTGTTTGGCATATACGCGCAATCGAATTATGGAAATAAAATTGAACCATATGTTAGTCCCGAAATGACCTAGTTTGTGTCGAGTGGACGTTAAACCCCATTTCCCTCTCTCTCTTTGTTTGGCATAAACGTTTTGCCAAATAACATTTTTTTTTTTAAAAAGTGGATTATCTATAGCAGAGACATTGAGAGGAATGCATTGTGCTTTGTCGCCCGATGATGAAATATTATGGGCGTGGTTTGCTACAGGTTCACATTATCAACGTTTTCGTTTGTGTTGAGATTGTCGCTGATGTCAAAATGTAAAATAAAAATAATTTATGTCATAATAATCATGTTATTAACTTTTTCTGTCTGTTAATTAATAGCTTCCGCCCAAGCCGTTGTTAAAAAAATGTCGCTATATTTAAAATAGTTGCCGAGTTCACTATGGATATTTGTGGACTAGGAGAATTTTAGTCATGACTATGGATATTTGTGGAGAAGGAGAATTTTAGTTATTGCTATGGATATTTGTGGTGAAGGGAAGATTTAGTTGCACAGTTCCTTATGGGTATTTACATTGCATGACGTATGCCCTTCTTCATAAGTCCGATTGCTTCATTATAATTACCATAAAGTCTGTCATTGGGTCAACTGGCGTGGTTTCGATTCCCCGGTTGACAAGGAGTAGGGTCGCCTGTCCAACCTCGTGGGTTTTCTCCGGGTCCCCCGGTTTCCTCCCACTGCTAAAGACCCCTACGCACAAGCAAATTATTGAAATAAAATTAAACCATATGTTAGTCCCGAAATGACCTAGTTTGTGTCGAGTGGACGTTAAACCCCATTTCTCTCTGTCCGATTGCTTCATTATAATTACACAAGTAAGGACCAACACAACACTTATTTGTAAAGATACCTGATAGTAGAGATACAGTTTCTGCTTTAATCGCCATCTTTATTCCAGAATTGAAATAAGGCAATTCTTTAAACCAATACGAAAAGGGGCGTTAGACGATCTTTTTGTAAACGTCTTGAAACCACATATATCAGAAGCGATAATGACGAATAATATGACAAGCCCTGCGGACATATCGCTAAGATTGTTTATTTATAACCAGTCTTTTTTTTCTTCGATTTCCGTAAGCATTCATCAACATAAAATATCGCTCTTCAAGTTTGATAAGAGGTCCTCAACGATAATTACTTATAATATACCGTGGTTCCTGATGCGAGATGCTGATACAATATTGTTGAGTCTGTTATTTGAATGGCGATTCTGCGGATGGACCTTGTTTCTGGATTATCTTATAGAAATAGATCCCAGTGAGAAATACAGATTCGAATCACTACGCTTTTTAAGATACAAATCTGAATTAAATATTGTTTATTTAAAAAAAAAAAAATCATTGGACAATGCTCTGTGTCATATGGCTTACAATATTTTGACATAGGTATCCCCAAAGTGATATTATGCATGTAATGAAACGATTGGTTATCATGCTTTTCTCCCGTTGAGACAACTGGCGTGGTTTCTATTTCCCGGTTGTACGTGACAAGGAGTAGGGTCGCCTGCCCAACCTCGTGGGTTTTCTCCGGGTCCTCCGGTGTCCTCCCACAGCTAAAGACCCCCACGCGCAAGCGAATTATTGGAATGAAATTGAACCATATGTTAGTCCCGAAATGACCTAGTTTGTGTCGAGTGGACGTTGCTCTCTCTCTCTCTCTCTCTCTCTCTCTCTCTCTCCCTCTCTCTCTTTCTCTCATGTTAGATGCTATAACAGATAACCTGCCCCAGATTACACCCGTCTTACACCAGCGTCACGATGCTAATCTGTAGACGTCAGAAAATGGAATTTCGTAGGAGCGAGTCTGACATATTTCAGCAGGCTATCCAGTCTATAATCTGTCGAACGATTAATACTCTTACGCCATAACAACAGTGACGTACGTGTTAACACGAAGTATAACACTTAAAGGTGTTCAATCCATTGATCAAAATACTTCCATTCTCTGTGTAGCAGGAGGGCGTCTTTGTCCAGGG